CAGGGTGCACCACGTGGAGGAAAGTCTATCACACACCCCAGCATGAAATATAATTATGTCTTCTAAATTCTTGAGAGAAAAGTGGAGTAAAGCAGCAAGACCACCCCTCCCAGAGTAAATAAGCACTGGCCATCGTAGACAAGCGTTTTCTCCTCACTTCACCCAACTAGTTCCATGAAAATCGACTTTCAGAACGAGAACTACGGAGTAAATATTGAATGACCCGTGTCCAAAAGCGGAATGAAGGAAGAATTCCATCTGGACGTTGCTATTCGGTGTCAGTTGTTTTCGATAATTAAAAATTCTCCCATGACAAAGACGAAGTAGGCTGAGAATTTAAGTTGGCAGGACTCCATAGGCCATTGTATACATTTGCATGGCGATAAATAAACAAGATTTTTACCAGTGTTGTGGCGCGCCTGAAAGCCATTATAGTGTCCAATTTTGAAGGAGGGTGTTGAAAAAAACAAACGTTCCGTTTGTCATTTCTGAATAAACAGCGATGTGAGTCAGACTTTAGATAAGCTTTCAGTACTTTGCTATTTATGATCATAAGTAAATCCGAAAAAGAGCAAGAGTGTTCAATATGATATGAAAAGGCGTGTGTCAAGAGTCATGTCTCTGTTGATTAGACTCCACATTTTTTTCATATTGGATGTATCTTTAAGTGTCCAAGACTACATAATTAATAGAACTCGATCCCTGGGTTGCTGATTGAGTCTACATTAACGGGACGCTTACCAACAACCCCCCAAAACACGAGCCCAGCCAAATTTTTTCCATCAGAACATTGCTATCGATTTAACGACAAATTTTACTGATGTGCCAACCTTATTAACAGTAGAAACATCTTATAACCACGCTTCCATTGATTAAGACTAGTAACAATTTCAAAGTTTAAAGTTAAGAGAAGATACCACCGAATATTTGTAGTGTGATGATGTACGACATCTAGGTTGTGATGCAGAAGCATTGGGTAGATATGGTTAGGATTTAAAAGCATAATTTGATGAACCACTCATGCACATGACCAGTACAGTGGAATGATCATGATCGATAATTTTGACAAGGTAGGATGTGATTTTTTCACAAGAACTACTCACACCCACAAAAACGAGTTGACGGCTCTGACTGAACTTTGGAACCATTCGTTGACATGACCGTCATCAGACAATTAACAAAGCCGTTTCACATTTCTCAAACTGTTGAACCAGCCACGAGTGAAATTTTGCACAAAAGTCAAATGCGATTTTGCTAACTGTGTGCTATTGGTGGAAACTTTGTTCGCTGCGTACCTCACAGGCATCGCAAATGGTGACTATTCCCGATGTCCGATTTCTGGATGCTTGAAGCGTCATCAATCAAGGGAGAGATAGTTCGTCGTATAGCAAGAGGATAACACGGTCCTTACAGTTCATATGACACTTGTCCATTGAAGGACTTTTGAGGTAATATGAGCTCGGGTTTTGCAGATAGAAGACAGGTAGACTTAAAAAGCATTCAAGCGTATATTTTCTTTAATCCGAGCTGGGTAGAAAGTGAAAATCTAAAATACTGCAAAACAAAATCACCTATCTTTCCCCTCAATTTTAATACTTTATACCATATTTACCTTGTAATATATATATATATATATATTGGCATTACGAGTTGCTAGAATGTTAAAAACAACTCCCCATTTTTTGGCAAAAGTTATATTTTTTTAACACAAGAAACAGGCACTCCGAACTATTTAACTGAAAATGGTAAGTGAGTTGAAGGAAAGTAAGCAAAGAGTAAATAAATTCTAAACAAAAGAAAAATACATTCACAGCCACAAAATAACCGAGGCATAGCCAATGGCAATCAATTCGATAGAATTGCGCCTTCACAGCCCTGTTTACTCACGTACATGGAAGAGAAACGAATGCGAGGTCTCCTGAATAGGTCCAAAGTAGAGATGCGTAGGAGGAATTTTGACATCCATCCCCATGAACCCTTCACTACCATCTTTGGAAGGTAGAGGCAGTAGGTGGACATAGCCGCGAACAAAAAAATTGCCCTTCCGCATAAAAACCACCGAGCCTTTCAGCGATTGGGTGCTTGCGCTTCCAAATGGAATTTTCGGCTCCTCGTTGATAACATCAGTTGATATAGCTTTGCCGACAAACAACTAGAAAGTTATGAGGATTTAAGTTAATCATTCCTAGTGCTATCTCACTCCTCTTTTAAAACTGAAACTTGGTGTCTATTTATTCATTAAATTAGCACATATATATGAAGCTCAAAAGTAAATTTGGAATCAAAATCCTGGTCCGTTAAAGAGGTGTATTTTTCTTTACGTATTAAGGCCAGAGGGAGGTGGGGTGGGGGTTGATATCACACCTTTTCGCCGAATGTGTGCAATGGTTATTAAACTCGTGACCTAATTTGGAAATACACGAACTGACCGATTTGCAATATTCCTCTGTCCTACATTAGTGACTCCATAAAGCCCTTCACCGCTTTTCACACAGATTCCTGATTACTATACTTGAAATTTGTGCACCACTTTTTCGAATATCTTTGTTAAAAGATAAAACTAGGAAACTGCACACTCTCTCTCTTCAATGATACAAAAAGACACTGCAAATCACTTGCCTAAATTGATGTATCGCGTTATCTAGACACATTTGTTGCCATAGTTTTTCTTGAAAAGACCAGCAAATAGACTTCAAAATGAACCTCCCAAATATGTACTCCAAACCAAGGTAGAACAAAGACCTCGTCGTGAAAGCCTCAAAGTCGAAAATTAAAAATTTCGAAATGACAGTTCAACAAAATTTAATTGATCAATCACCGAGATCACTTTATAGGCTTATGTGGTTCATTTAATTTGAAGCAAGATAGACGTAGTGCATTTTGAGAATGATTTAACCAAAATACGGGGACTTTGCTTCCCAGACTTACACCAGCTTGTCCACGAAGAGATCCGCATAGAGAGAAAACAGTTCCTTCAGTGAGCGGTTTCGTAGACGAAATGGTCTTACCCTTTTCATCGGTCTCAAAAACATCTAGGCCTATCCATAACCGATGAAGAATCAGACCATCCTTCAACTTTTCCATCAACGCCGATTCTGATACATAGTCAGCTTGTTGCTCCGATAAGTCCTCACATTCGCGTTTTGATGGATCTATGGGAAGAAAGGACATTGAAATAGTATTATGAATCATGAAATTAACAAAAAATACATATTTAAACATCGATAATATGCCAAGTAAAAATAACTCATGGACCACAATTTTGCAATGAACATTTTTGATTGGCGACTTTTACAAAGCGACGATTTAAGTTGACAGATTATTGCGGACATTGGGGTCAGAACTTACTACTGGGGAATTGGGAGGAGGGAAAGTTAGAAATCTCAGCAATCAACATGGATACACTTGGAAAATTGCAAATCAGCCCCAATTTTGGCGTTTGTTGATGCCATTAAAAGTGTCTGACACAAGGCAATAACAATGCTCATTAATGCAACGAATAGAAATCGCACAATTCTGTTAATGAATTTCGTTTCACAACAAATGGATTTACCGATTAGTGTACGCACACACACACACACACATACCCCGCTCACGCACCGGGGGAGGGGGGAGGGGGGAGGGGGGGGGTGGTGAATAAAACATTTCAGCCATTTTACCGACTAATCGGGCAATTAATCGACTCCATTTTAGCATTTTATGCCTAAAGGATACACTGAAGAGGTATCTTAAGAGACCACTGAAACCAAGGCGGTTATGAAATAAAAGTTCAAAGATATGATAGTATCCCGCTCCACTAAATCTAATGGATCACATGATGCTTATTTCACCTGACACCGTAGAGAATTCACAAAATTTTTTTGGAAAACTATTAATTATGACTTCTGGCTTCAAAGTAATGCGATATTATTGAACTCCCAGATGATCAAGCCATCGGTAAAAAC